TGTTAAGGTTCATTTATTGCTTATTATTTTCCTTTCTATTTAAATTTCCATCTCTTTTCTTTCCCTAAATAAGTTTCAAGTGCTTGAGTATCACTTAATTTGAAAACATAAGGAGCAATTTTCTCACCTTGTTCTTTCTTCAAAATACTTCTAATGGTGCTATAATTCCTGGGTTCCATAGTAGACCTAATGTAAATGAGTTTCATCTTAACTATTTTTATACAGGAATAGTTCTATATATCACTTAAGATAACAAATGGGATATTATAAACTGTTAATTATAATCACATTATGAAATGACTAAATTTTGAACCCTGAAATTCTTGGTAATACCAATGTTCACTTTGTCTGGTTTTGTTGCAGCATGCCCCATATAACATAATAATAATAATATAACATCCAAAATGCCTAATAAAAATAATAATAAATGCAAATTGCTAGATATGTAAATTTATAGATTACTAAATATGGTAATAAAAATTAAATTATTTCTGTGCTAATAATTCCAGGGATTGTTACAATTTGTTTATCTGTTTTAGAATATTAAGATGGCAGAAGAAATTAATGAGAAAGAAATTAACATCATGAAATAATAATCTCAATGATTCATTTTTTTAGAAATAAATAATAGTTATTTATTTGTTATATATTTTAAAACACTTTATAAATCATTGTGTAGAATCACAGCATATATCCAATTTTTTTAAAAAAAGCATAAGATCACCATAGATGATATTATTTTTTTCTTTAAACATATACTCCAATCATAATTGCTCATAATTTCTATATACCAATTAAAAATTTGGATATATTTGTAAAACTAAAGATAATATTAATATACATATATATAAAAACAGACAAAGTTTTTTATGCAAACAATTCTCTTATTTGTATTTCTTTTGTCAAAATTGACATGACTTTTTGCAGTAACACTATACACAGAGATGACTTTTCATTATAAAAACTGAATACAGACTTGTATCCATATTTTACTTAACATTAAATAATTTAAATCTAATCAATCACTTTCATGGAACCAGTTGAGGATTTTTATTTTCTCTTTTATATCAATTTTGCTTTTCTGTCCATTTTGCTTGTCACAGGACCAATTTAGAATCTCTTCAATTTTAAAATAAATGAAAACCTACAAAGTGAACATAAAATTATTGAGATGCATTCAAATAACTTCTGTGTTATTCTATACATGTATTCTGCTGTATAGTAGTTATTGAAAGTGTTTTTGAATAAATTTTCTTTTAAAATTCTTCAAAAAACAAAACTCATCCCATAACTCATCCCATATTAAAAGGAACTCATCCCATATTAACATATACTCATCCCTTAGTAACAAATATTCATTTTACATTTAAAATATCCACCTTGGTACTTTTTAGGCTTATCTGTTGATATTTATACTTTAGGATCAGTATCTGAACTGATTGCACCTGGCTAGGGTTTCGACTTCTTTTAGACATTGGTCCAAATAAAATAAAGAAATAAAAATTAAAAGAAACACACACACAACTATACTTATCAAAGGTGTCCCCCCTGGTAATATGGTAATTAATTAATTATTCTGACTGTTTTTAAATAGTAACAATTTTAATTTTTATTTTTATTTTTATTTGTTTTTTGCAACAATTCAATTCATATATATATTTTCACAATTAAGTAAATAAAATATGTGTGTTTGTCATTCTTTTTATAACAATGATAAATGCAACTATTATAGATATACAGTCAAACCTCGTTATAACGGACCTCGTTATAACGGATTTTTGTTATACCGGACAAAACTTTATTTCTATTTTTTTTTATTAACATTAAATAAAAAATTTTGTTATAACGGATTTATATAATAAACCTCGTTATTCCGTATAATGGACATTTATTGAAAATTTTTATATATATTACTAGTCGCGTTATACCGGATTTTTTGATGAGCACAGATCATCTATACTAAAAATGTTCAAGTTTGTATTTTCACAATACATTCATTTTCCCTTTTCTACAATATATTAATTGTTTGATCTTTTCCTTTTTTACAATATATTCATTGTTTGATCTTTTTTACTATTTCTTTACAAAGAATACATTCATCTTTTGTTTACTATTACAAGACATTCATCTGCAATTGCTCATTCGCCATACTTTATTTTATAGCTTCTATCCAAGATACTCTTTAAAGGTTTCAATTGTAATGATAATAAATAAAATAAAATAATTGTCCTATTACTAACGGTTGATGGAAATGTAGATATTGCTTTTAACAATGATTTATTAAACACTTTATCAAGTAAATTGATGCCATTGATTTAATTGACAAAATAGAGAAATGGAAAAGTGTTTTCTTTGAACTGAATGGTTAGTTTATTTTAAAAACATCAAATTGTTTTTCATTGATATTGAAGTTTTGAGGATATAAATAAAGCTTTAAATTTTCTTTTTGAAATAAAATTCGTCTGTCCGTACACAAAACAAAATTATTATTATAATAATAATAAAAATTCCGTCCGTCTATATATACACGAAACAAAATAATAATAAAAATCCCGTCTGTACACGAAACAAATTATAATAATAATAATAAAAATCCCGTCTGTACACGAAACAAATTATAATAATAATAATAAAAATCCCGTCTGTACACGAAACAAATTATAATAATAATAATAAAAATCCCGTCTGTATATACATGAAACAATTATAATAATAATAAAAATCCCATCTGTCCAAATTTAATAATAAAAACCATACACACACAATATAAAATTAGTAAAAAATTTCTAATGTCTCAACAAGAACAAAAAAAACGCATCCACCTTACTGCTGCACAAAAATTTGAAATTTGTTCAATAAAACAACGAGAACCAAATAAAAAAAATGTTGATTTGGCTACAGAATTTGGAATCAGTACAAGTCAAGTTAGTGACATCATAAGAAGTTCTAACAAATGGCTTCAAGTTGATCCAAATTCATATCAAGCAACATTAAAAAAATTACATCCCTCACCTTTAATAAATATTGAAGAGGCATTAATCTTGTGGATTGAAAAAGCTCTTGAATGTAATTTGACAATTACAGGCACCATAATTCAACAAAAAGCCCTAGATTTTGCTGATTTGTTAAATCACCATAATTTTAAAGCATCTCAAGGATGGCTTGAAAATTTTAAACATAGATTCTCAATTCAGGCATTTAATAAACATGGAGAAGCCCAAAGTGCTCCAATAAGTGAGATTCCACAAATGAGACAAAATTTAAGAGAAGTCCTTCAACAGTATAGGCGGGAGGATATCTTCAACTGTGATGAGACTGGTTTGTTCTGGAAAATGGAACCTAATCGTGGGCTATCAACTGGACCACTTCCAGGAACCAAAAAAACAAGGATAGAGTTACAGTTCTTTTAACATGTAACTCAACTGGCACAGAAAAATTAATTCCCTTATTTATACACAAATACCAAAACCCAAGGCCATTGAGAGGAATAAAAAAAGACACATTACCAGTAAATTATTATTGGAATAACACAGCTTGGATGCAAATTTCTATATGGAATGATTATCTCAAAAAATTAAATAAAAAAATGCAAGATGAAAATAGGAATATTATATTATTAGTTGATAATGCTCCAACACATACCTTAACAGAGGGTGTCACTTTCCCAAACATAACAATTCATTATTTACCACCAAATACCACAGCACATTTACAACCATGTGATGCAGGCATCATTCATAGTTTCAAAGCTCATTATAAAAGGCTATTTTTGAAAAAAAGAATAAATAATTTTGATGAAGAACAGTCTGGCATAGAACCCGATCCAATTAATATTTATCATGTAGTTAAGATGGTTGCAAGAGCTTGGGATTTTGTTACACCAGAAATTATTTCTAATTGTTGGAAAAAAACTGGAATTCTTCCAGAAGAAAATGATTTATATCCTATAGAAATAGAACAAGCCAACAATTTAGTAAATGAAATTCTCCAAGAAGAAGAAAATGCTGTTCAAAATTTAATTAATAATTTACCAATTAATTCACCTCTAACAGCAGCAGAATTTATTTCAATAGATAATGCAGATGTAAGTGTTGAAATGGTAACTGATGAACAAATAATCTTATCACTTACTCCAACTGAGGAAGAAATTGAAGAAAATGTTCCAATGTTACCTTATATTCCAATTAAAGATGCTGTTGCTGCTTTTGAAACTGTTCATAAATTTTTTGAACAAGATAATGATGGTTTAGAATTAGATCATAATGAACTCAAAGTTTTTCATGCATTAAAGAAAAAAATTAATTTGTATAATTCTAAAAGTTTAAACCAAGGAAAATTAACTTCTTATTTTACCAAACGACAATAGCATCATATCAGTTATATTATAATAATAATTATTATTATTATGTTGTACAATTTTATTATTGTTGATATTAATAAAAAAGTTATTTTTAAAACATCACGTGATGATCATCAATTACCTTGGTTACCGGATACCTCGTTATAACGGACCATTGAGGCCAAACCAATATGTCCGTTATAACGAGGTTCAACTGTATTATTCAATTCCATATAAAGCTTTTATCTCTTTCACTTCCCTCCATCTCATTTGAACATTTTCATATGAACATTTTATCCCTCTCCTTCTCAATTTATAAATTTTAATATATATGAGTAAATACTCATATGGACTCCATGGTCCCCAATGTTCATTAATTATGACTAATTCATCATCAATTAGTATTTACTCTACATCAGGGTTGGCAAATGTGTGGTCCATTTATGGACTATTGGTGATCCATTAGTGTAACTTATTAATGGCTATGGACCATTCCAAAGTCCATCGGTTCTCAATAGACCAGTCAATTTACCAACCCTGCTCTATATCCTCATCTAAAATCTGATCAACATCATTGTTAATATTAATATCATCTAACAAATGTTTATTAGATGTATATTGTGTTGATGGTAGTGATGATGTTGGTGATGATAATGCAGTATCATTTCTTGATGGTGATAGTGGTTAATGGCAGCAGTTACAATATTATAATGATTATTATCCTCAACATTTATAACAATTTGTTCCTCTTGTAAATGTTTTTTGCCATTATCGTTTGTATTATTTTTGTAATTATCTCCATCTTCATCAGATGAATTTTGAAGAATATATCTATGCTTTCCCTTGAAATTTTTTTTAAAACAAATTAAATTATGGTGTAATAAACTTTATTAATAATAATATAACAATAGATGATGGTAAAAGTTACCTCTTATATTATCATTAATAGCTCAAAAACCTGTACAGGTTTTAGCAGTTGTATAAAGCATCTAGGTCAATATAATTTTCAATTGGTGTAAAATATGTTTCCTCAATTGATCTTGAGGAATAGAGTAAATAAATAACAAGATTATACCAGTCAGACAGGATTTCACATTTACTGATTTTACTATATGATCGACACATCACGTTTTTCGTACAACAGACTTTAAAGGAAGAATTGAATGCAAGATTATTAACAAACAATTTTTACACTTTTAAATAAATACAATCTCGTACTTTTGCTCTTTTAAACACAATCTTTTATTTGTCAGTAACTTTTTTTGTTGTCCGGCAATAGCCTTTCAAAAAGACCCATACTTTTTAGCTTCGAAGACCTAATTCTTTATGAAAAACAACATTATAACGATCACTTTAGTGTGATAAGATAGAGTATATTGAGGGCTTTCAGAAAATATATGGTTCGTTTGGTTTTTACAGAAGAGGAAGAAACTAGAAGCAAAAAAAGTTTTTATAAGTTATTTATAACCATTTTAAATTTTTTTTTTTTTTTTTTTCTTTTCACATTATTATATCATATATAACTATTTTAGATGAAATACATCGGAGAAGCAATTAAAAATAAAACGTTTTATAAGTTAATATAATTTTTATTTTTGTTTTCTTTTCACATTATTATACCCATATTCTCTAACTTTAGTAGATGTCCATGAATTATTTATTTCAAATAGATTTTCTAATAAATTTTTTGCTACATCCTTTGGTAACTCTGTAGGATGGTCATTGCTGGATGATGATGTATCTCCCTCCGGATCGATTTCTCTCATTGAGATATTGCCACTGCGTTGGCTCAAATGCTAAAAAAAGTTAAAAAATCCAATACTAAAAATGGTCTAATATATATAATATCTCTTAATACCAA